CTGGTAAGATAAACAACAGCTGATAAAGTCAGGGGCTGACCTATTTCTGAAGCAGACAACCAAGGAGAAGTTTATGGTTTTCTGTTCTTTAGACTTAACCAGTTTTTCTTCTTCGAACATATTTTATGGCACTTGACTAATCACCCTGGTAATATGTTGCCGAAGTTTTCTTGGCTCTAAATCAAAGTCTCCAATGTACTAGCACATAGGCTCTGGAGGGCCCAGACAACAAGAAAACAGCAAGGGGTGGGAGAAAGCCCTCATGAAAAATTTAAAAGTTAGATTCCAATAGAAAGATAGAGAATGGGGATAATTAATTTCTGGAAGAATTCAAGTGACCTATACATAAAAAAAGAGGCCTAATCAGATAAGAATAGGAATGCTTCTACTTCCCCCTGTGATTTTGGCAGAAATGTAAATGGTTGGTGCAACCTGGTGTGCTGGTGGGTTGGAGGAACTGGGTGTATTCTTGCAGCTGCCTGCTACAACCTTTCAGGAGGGCAGGTGGCTCAGAAGTATTGAAATGTAAAATGGACAGCTCTTTGCTCAACAGTTTGCAGTCTGGGATTTATCCTAAGGAGGAAACTACACAAAAATGAAAACACATTTATGTAGTATGTTTGCAAATGTGTATATAAGGGGAAAACTAGAAATAACATCAATATTTATCAATAGGGCACAGGCATGGTGAATTATGGCAAATATCTGCCACAAAATCTGAAATATCATGTATTCAATAAAAAAATAGTGCAGTGCTTCAGATATTGACGTGGAAAGTTGAGTGGTACAAAACAGGTTGTTAGAACTGTCACATTTATATAAAGTTATAATAGTAGATGCATGAGAAGTTATTCATTTAAATCTTAACAGGAAAGATTGTATACTTTTACTGTTTCTGATTTGACTTCAAGCTGTGCGGCTTATCTATTTTTCTTCCTTAGGAAAATTTATTTAAACTTTCTTATTCTTGGTAAAAATGGGGATAACAATACCAGCATCTTACAGGTCATTGTGAGAATTGCAGTAAAACCCATGTCAAGCACCGGGATGGAGTAAAAACAGTCTTTGATTTTTTTTTTTCATTCAGAGTTTTCTTCTTTCTTTCATTATTTGAGTACAAACAGCTGTATTCATATGCCCAAGATTCAAAGAGAGATGGGCTTTGAATAGCTTCCATTTATTTTAATGCAGGAAGAACCCTAGTTCCAAATATGTGGAACAGTATTTTCCTAAGGCTGAAGTCTGTCAGAAAATGGCCATATTGAGTCATTGTTTTCTGAAGCCAAGAGAGGAGATTGAATGACTGGCACTGATGGGTGGCCTAAAATAATACCTCATTCCTGTCATCCTTAGGCAGTTTTAAGACCAAGTGATTTTGGATAGATCTACAGTTTTCCTCTTGGTTTGCAAGAACAATGCTTTTGTTGTTTATGCTCTTAAACAACAGAGCTTTGTCCTATGCTCAGGAGCATGCAAGCCAAACAGAAGACTTCCTGAAGTCCACCCCATTTATTGAGAGGTGCGATTCCAAGTGGCAAGTAGACATGCTCAGCATCAGCCACCTGCAGAGGACCCTCATCATCAGTAAAGTGAAATGGCCAGGTCTCATGGGAGAACAATAGCCAACTGGGTTTGGGATTCAGTTCTCTGATACTGTGCTAAAGTTGGCGGAGTCAGCCACTTTTCAACTGTATTCACTTGGGGCCTACTTTGCACTATAAAACAAACAAATAACTTTATTTTGCTTTCTGAATCTGAGTCTTAAAAATAAAGGCAATATTTGAATGTTTTCACTTTGGAAATTTCTGGTCCATGGATAATTATTTTTCATATTGTTGTGTAATCTTTTCAGAACTCTTGACACTGTGGAATAGAAGATAATTGGGGTTGAAGAGTTTACATTAATGGTTAAAGGATCATTAGAACACAAATTAGCCTCTCTGTCCTGTACCCCCACTCTCATGTCTCTTTACTGCACTCAAATAATTCCGGGCTTGCTACTATTCTGCCACACCTATGTGTAATTTTCACTTAGCAATAGGTCAAGTCTAAGTTGAGTGTATGAAGTTGGGAACTGATTCTGAGTCTTGCTGTTGAGAACTTGCCGTGCTCTAGGCTTTGTGTTAAGTGGTTTAAATTCCCTGTCTCAATGTTTCTATAGGACTGGGCACCAATGACTGGCTTTACAAGAATGGGCAATGAAAATGCAGTTTCCTTGTCTCTATTTTAGAACAATAGCATTAGCATTCTGTAATGGGAGTCAGGTATCTACCATTTTAACAAGTTCAAGGGCCACTGTGAGTTTATAGTGCTCCACTCCTCTTATTTCTGTTCTTAAATTATCACAGTAAATAAATAAATAAAATAAAGTCCTGTGGACTCTGAGACACAGAACTACCCATATCTCTTTAGTTGCTTATCACAGTAAATGTGCTTCCAGAGCCAAATTACTTTGGGGGAATTCTATGGTATTCACTTTTGTTGTGGGAAATCTTTCCTTGCTTGGTGGTAGCCTGCATTCTGGACATAGAGAGGGACCATAGAGGCTATACAGCTTGTATAATGTGTGTAGCCCTGCATGGAGAAGTGAAACCATATCATTCTCCTTGACCCAGGACTATGCATACAGGAGCTGGCTTATGCCTGAGAGAGGTGGCTGATGTGGTGGTGTGATTCCCAGGCCCAGAAAGCCCCGCCTGCCTTCTGCATGTCTTCATTGTCATGCTCCATGGGGCCTGAAATATTCACTAGTGTTTTTTTTTTTTTTATTTGCTTCTCAGCTTTATTTCTGGAAAGCCCTATAAAATGAAATACCAGTTGGAAGGTAGCAGAAACATTTAATCATATTTTCACAGGCTAGTTTTATCTATTGCTCTGGGAATGGCTTAGAAAGATTCATCTGGTGAGAAGAGAGGGTAGGTCCCTCTGTGGGTCACTTTGGAGGAGGAAGCTGGTGAACACAGGGAGACTGAGTTTGGGGCAGGGGAGGGGGCAAAAGTAAGAGAAGGGCTAAAGATAACTAGATCTGTCTCAATTCTAAGGGTTACTATGTTAGTTGGCTTACTGTCACTGTAACAAAATACTTGACACAGGCTACTTAGGAAGTAAAGAGTGGTTTATTCCAGTTCAGAGTTCTACTCCAAGATTGGGTAGCCCCAGTGGTTTGGGCTTTCGGCAGCGATTGCACATCATGGTGGGAGTACATGATGGAGTAAACTGAACATGAATCAGGAAGCACAGAATGGGACCAGGGTCCCACAGTTCCCTTCAGGGACATGTCTCCAGTGACCTAAGCACCTCCCAATACTGCCATCCTAGGACCAACATCTGAACCAGAGCAGTTATTTTATTTCTTAAAATTCTCCAGCACCTCCCATGCTCCTCTTCTTCAGTGAATGCCTGGTGCTGCGTAATGGTCCCCTTGGCCACCTCCTAGACACAAGCAATGTTTCAGGTGGTGACACCTCAATGGTACGAATGGGTTCTGGGAGGGGGATTCCATGTCCGATTCTGTCGCTGAACCAATTGAGGGAGAAGGCAGAGATAAAGACCCACTGCTGAGTCCTAGATACCCCTTAACCCCCAATCCTTCTTCTTCTAGGAACAGGATAACTAGAATCAAAACGACTTAGCTTAGCTCATTCAACTCTTAGCCAGGCCCCACACAAAGCTTTCAAATATGTGATTATTTCTGGCAACCACAGTGGGCTTTACTGCATTTCTTTTTTTTTATATATTTAATTTTTCATTTTTCGGTGGATACAACATCTTTATTTTATTTTATGTGGTGCTGAGGATCGAACCCAGCACCCCGCGCATGCCAGGCGAGCAAGCGCGTTACTGCTTGAGCCACATCCCCAGCCCCTTTACTGCATTTCTTTATCAACTTGCTGAGAAAGATCAGAGATGATTCCTGCCTATAGCAAAGTTTGTCTCAGGTCTATTAAGTCTTAACATTTGATTTCATTGTAATTCTGATCTTGCCCTACATTTCATTTTTAGGCCTTTTTTTTTTTTTTGGCTAAACTGAAATGTCCCCCAATTTGTTCAATGTTTGTCTTTTAGTGCTAGTTTATGTGGCAAGTGGTACAGATTCATTAATTTACTCAGTAGCGAGTAACCACCTTCTATGAAGAGGAGTGACAGGAAGGGCTCACAGTGATGGACATCATTGTTCTTGGTCTAGATAGTGGGTGCCAGGGAAGGGTGTGCTTAAGGGTGGGTATTTGTGTCAAAACTGAGGATGAGGGTGGGGCTTCCTCATGAGTGAGTGAATGAACGAGTGTAGAAGTCTATTCTCCTTCCCCAGTGTACACATTCCTTAACCAAGCACATTATGTATTTTCCTTTTCCCTTCTCAGTGAGTCTGTCTAACTCTCAGTTAATATTCTCCCTCTCTGAAAAGTCCCTCACTGCTGGGAGGAGACGAGATAATTAGCTTCAATGTTCTTCCATTTTTAAGCTGGGAATTCAGCATGAATTCCAGACACGGTTCATATATTGTGGATAATCAGCACAGCTGTTCATGATAGGTAACTCTCCCTCTCTCTCTTTCTCTCTCTCTCTCTTTTTTTCCCTCTCCATTGGAGTCTCTTTCGGTTAGCATACCAGGGATGAAGATTAATGACTTCCATTACTTTTTTTCCTTTCATGCAGGAATCTTTAACTAGCCTGAACTTTGTGCCAACTATCATATGTATCATATCTACTGCAATTACCCCTCTATGTCACGTCCTAGGTATGTGTCCTTGTGTGAAGTACTAAATGAAGGGCAGGGTGAAAAGTGTCAAGTTATAACCAGGCAGAAAACTGACAATTAACAAACAGTGACCTATCCACCTTATTGTGTTATTCTCTTGGAGGCCTCAAGAAACATGTGATGAGAATAGATATGTTTCACCACATCTACCTGTTTAAATAATTTACCTTTGTTTTGAATATTGTGTACATTTATTGTAATAAAATTAATAAACAAAATGATAATTTTATTGAACACTCACCATGTAATGGGCTCAGTTGTAGGCATGCATTTGCTCATAATCTTCACGCCAGTCCTAGGAGATAGCATGGCACCATTTTACATTTGAGGAGACTGAGGCAAAGTGCTATTAAGTAGTTTGCCCAAGATCCTGCAGGAAAGGTCAGAGCTGGGATTTGAACCCAGGCAGTCTGGTTTCAAATTTTATGCCCTCAACCTCTATGTTCTACTGCTTTATATCTTTGCTTTTAGAAGCGAAGATATAATTTTAGCATGACATTAGTAATGTACCTCCCAAAGTTTTCTCTTACTAATTACATAATTACCAATTTTTGTGTATACCATGTCATAATACTTTAGAGAAACTTAGACACAGAACAAGACCACAGAAAACTGATCCTGTGTTAAGGTCTCATTACTTACAAGAAGAGTTTTGACTATGTGAATTTAAAAATTGATAGTTTGTGTTACACGTAAGTGTAATATATTTTGGAGTCTTGTCACATGCATTATTAGTATGGTTCTGTATGTTCATATTCTTAGGAGAGACTGAATTAATACTACACAGGTCTGTGTTATGGCTTAGTGGTAGAGTGCTTGCCTAGCATGCGTAGGCCCCTAGGTTTGATCCCCAGTACCACAAAACAAACAAATGAATGAATGAATAAACAAACCAACCACTAAGAATTCCCCCTATGTGCAAAAGGCAAAGTCATTTTCAGGTCTGTGTGCCCAGATAAAGTGATTTGTTTTCTGAACCAAGAATATAAGCTTAGTACCTAAAGTGACCTCAGACTCACATCTCTACTACCCATGCTTTTTAATTTAAATTAAAATATTTTTGTTAAGATGAGGCAAGTCTTCTCATTGACATTTTCCAAGCAAGTATTTTTCTTTCAGTTAACATCCTAAGATGCTGGCTCCCAGTGTTAGAGTTAGAACTGTCAGCTGCTCCCTACCAGGGAACATCCCACAGACTGGGGTTTCTTTAGCAGGTCTTAGCATAGTGAAAATATTGGGGCTATTTATCCATGTCACCTGGGATGGAGTTAATGCCCTGCTAGTCTTAATTGGCTTGATGTGCTGACATGGTGGGTCTGAATGTTTCCTATAATTTTCTCATGAGTGACTTTGGCTCCATAAACTAAGGGCTAGGCAAATTAGCTTATGGGCCCAGAAATCATTCTTGGCCCAAGTATGGAGAAACTTCTCAGTCAACCATAGCTGCTCTGATACTTGAGATTTGCTGACAGTTCTTCCTTCAGAAAAGGGTTTGCATTCCTGAGTTACTTTTCTGTTGGGGATCATCTTAATCATTGTCTCTGGGGTTAAGATCAAGGAAATAGGACCAAGAACTGAACTCAGCTGTTTGGGTGACTCTTGGATCCATGAGCTTCTTAGCCAGTATCTGATGCAATAGCTAACAAATATTAACTGATGGTGATGACAGGAAAGAGTTTCTCTAGCCAGAACCTGCTAATATAAGTCCTAATGAATTGAAAAGGATGCCTGCTATAGCAGACTCTGACATGTTGCATTAGCAATTTTAGGCAAAAGAAGATTATAGTATCTAAGATCATATCTATATCTATCTATATAAATATCTCTATCATATCTATCTATCTATCTATCCATCTATCTATACGTATATATAGATAGATATAGATACAGATACACACACACATTAGTTCTTGCTTTGGTCATAGAATTGTGTTTCAATAGGGTATAGAAAATAAATCTCCAGGAAAATGCCCAGTTACAGGCACATGTCTCAGGTTTTTGTGATCATTATGATTCTAAGAGGGAAGGCAGTGCTGTTCTTTTAGAAAATTCTTATGAATGTGGTTTGGGGTGAACATTAGTAACAAATGAACAGTTTAATGTTGAGTTAAACAAAACTTTTGGTGTTTTTAAGGGCCAAAGATCAAGCCAGGGGTCAGTTGAAAACTCAGTTACATGTCGACACAGAGAATGTTCAAAAGTTGTGAAAACTCAATTCCAAACTTGCCCTATGATTGTTGGCCATTGTCTTAGGCAGCAAGATAATTTTCTTTAAATTTGTAGGTGGTGAGTTTTTTCTATGGGAAATTTTTGGGTAATGACTTACATAACTCAGTTTAGAATATTCTTGGCTTAGTTGGTTGAAAATAGAGATTTGAATATGAGAGTGCAGGGGATTTTAATGGAATTTTATTAAGGGAGTGAAAAGCAGGGAGTTTGATATCGAGAATTCAATGCCAGTATTATCTTAAGGACTTGTTTTTCATTTTAGACTAAATAATATATATTATCTTTGAGTAAAAGGGACAACAGTGCTAATAGCCTGACTTTCTCAGAAGTTTCTGTTTTCATGTGGTCACCATAGTCAGCAGCACTGTCAAATAAATACAGGTTAAATTAAATAAAAAACTATTTAAACAGAGCAGAAATAGTCTTCCCTGGCTAAATTGGACAATTAAAAGAGTAAAACCTGGGAGGAAACTTTCAATGGATTATAATTTTTCTATTCTCTATATATTGTTGTTTTTTCTTCCTGGAGTCAAATCTCCAGTTGAATTTAGTCAATTATCTACAGCAAACAAAAAGTGCATAAATGTCTCTTCCGTTACTGCTGTTTATATTTTACCACTAAACAAAGCAAGTTTTTCTTTTTAGCTTTTACCTTTCGGAACTTATAAATCCAACAACACAAATTGAATATTGTGTAACTTCTGTTGTCACTTTGAAAGCATAATGACTGATTTAGTTATTTAAAAGTTTACTGCAAAAAAATTTTTTTTTGTTGTTGTTGCTAGTATTATACTTGCTACAAAATTTGTTAAAAAAAACAATTTGCTAAGGACTTGGAAGGAACTGTCAGCAGGTAAAGAATGTTAAGTATCCAAGTTGTGTGGGGTTGGGGTTATGTGTATGTCAATCCTGTTCTGGGGTTATTGTTTATGCTTTCCTATATCAGTCACTTCTATAGTAATTTTGATTTAAAAATGTTTCCCACTGCTTCTTTAATAACTACTAATTTAGAAGTATGTTATAACAAATAACTGGCATAACTAACAGTTAAAATGTAATGGGAAATAAGGGCTGGGGTGTGGCTTAGTGGTAAAGTGCTTGCCTGGCATGTGCAGAGCACTGGGTTCCATCCTCAGCACCACATAAATAAATAAATAAAATAAAGGTATTTTGTCCATCTGCAACTAAAAAATATTGAAAAAAATGTATGGAAAATAAGCAAGGTATTGTAAAGAAAATACGTAAAATAAAACAAAAAACAACAAAAAAAGGAAAAAGTAAAACAAGAGCTAGTAAGTACAACCTGGACCATGGGGGCACTGTCACTCTCTCTTGTGATTCTGAAGGTATTCTACCCCAACCTTCCCACTGTGGAACATTCTTCTGCGCTCAGTGCCAAGAATCAGAGGAGGAAGGCAGTAATTTCCCAGTATTCTCTCTAGGTGTAGTTATTTCCTCCCAGATAGGGAAAGCAGGCAATTATGCTCCTGAACCCCTTTCTCCCTCCTCCCTGCCAGCCCCATTTACCCTTGTTTCTGTGAATGAATGAAAAGGCGGCCCATCTGGAAAGGTAGCTCTAAAACACTTCTGGACAGTTCTCTATTGGCCTCTACAACTGATCATTTTAGTTTCAAGTTTATTTCAGGAACATTAAGCCTCTCTCTACTCGTACTTAATAAGAATTCATTCTACAAAAGCTTAGGATAGAGAAAAGTGAAATAAAAACAAAGCCTAGTGAGTTGCCTAAGCTCCTTAATGTGGATCCCTTTCACTGAGCATTACTCCTACTAAAAATAAAAAGGGAGATGAAAGTTACCTTGGTGTTTTGCTGCTGTGGTGGTTGCCCTCTGGTTTCTGGGGAGCCTCAGGTCCTTTAATGCCGGCAGCGCTGAACTGCCAAGCCAGAGGATCTTGCTCCAGGTCCCGTGGTGGTTTTGCCAGATCACCTGTCCTTTCCTTAGACAAAGTGATTTTTCTCTGGTCTTTCCAGGCAAAGTGATTCTAGATAAGCAGATCATTGTGTGGAATATCTCATCTACGTTGCTCCAGTGCAGCCCTTTCAGCTTTCCAGAGCCAGTTAGACTTGTTATGAGGAGTGAACTGATTGGCTGGATCTGGGCTCAGTTTCATAGATTATAGCCTGGCAGTCGGGAAGCACAAGCCCTATAGTTGCTGTAGCCCAGAGGCCTGCCAGTTCCTGCTGTAATGCATATGTAGTTGTAATTGAGTTCTAGCACGGCCTTGGATGTTTCTGTCCTAGATAGCTGACATTGCATCTTCAAGACTGTGTGAGTAATCCTGACTTTTTTTTTTTTTTTTTTTAAGCGCAGTAAATTAATTACATGCCCCGGGAGGGAGTGATTGTGAGAAGAAAATACTGAACTAGCAGATGATTCGTTTTTAAGGTGCTGTAGTATATGTGTCAAGTTCAACGCCATGAATCTTAAAGCTTCCAGGACATGGCAGGGTTATTATAGCTTTTGGCCATGAATCATAGTCAGGCTGCATTTTGAAGGAGGCTGGCTGATGCGTTTGTTAGCCCAGTTTGTTTGCATGGGGTCTGTACCGTGGTAAAGCTCCAACACACACGAGCAGGTTAAACAGGATGCCGGTGTGTGAGCACCGAGGGCGCTGGAGTCAGGCAAGTTTCAAGGGTTCCCACCCCCATGGTCCAAAACTGAGAGAGGATAATAAATCCTTTTCGGGACACAGGTACATAGCAGTTAGATACAGAAGGAGAAATGTGAAATGACAGCAGCAGTAGTTTTCTGCTCAGAAATCTGAAGCTAATTAAAGACATACACCATGAATAACTAGAAATTTTTATATGTACAAAAACGTTCTTTGCTGGTTCAGTTTATGTGGTAGAGCTGAATGGGAAACCACGAGCTTGTTTTTCAAAGCCTCCTGAGAAGTATATTAAACACACAAGGATGCAGCCGAAACAGAAGCAAGTATGTGTGCTAGGATTTGTGGTCGAGCAGAGCAAATGGTCCCAGGCAGCCGTTGTTAGGTTTGTGTAATTGTTGGGGGGAAGCTCTCTTGCTAACAGTTTTTGGATAAAGGTGGAGCAGCTTGAAATGAGAAACTACAAAGCATCAGTGTTTGATTATCATTGAGAGCTTATATTGCCAGACTGAGTAAAAACTGGTAAATGTAAGCAGTTCATATTTTACCTTTACCTTATTATTGATTTTCTCCTAGCCTATAATGAAATAGGGCTTTTGCCTATGAAGTTAGTGATTAGAAATAAGTTTTCATCCTCATGAATAATTTTCATACTTTTCTTAATACAGCACCAAACTAGGCCATTTACAGAATATTTTTGAGTTGTTTTCCAGGTTGCTTTTTAATTTAATTTTCCTTGTTAGACTTACATATTCAAATCTATGTTATATATTTGTGTTATATACGGATTTCAAGCATAAATTAATTACATGCCCCGGGAAGGAGTGATTGTTAAGAAGAAAATACTGTTGTGTAAAATATAAACTAATATTTATAGTAATTCCTTGCCAATTACTTTTAAAAGCACATTGAAAGACTCATTTATAGACTTATTTTTGGTTGCACCTATTTAAACAACTGACATAATTTAGCTGGCAGGAGAGAAATATTAGTTGTGTTTTCGCAAAATTTTGTTTTTAGATCACACTGGGAATGAGAATTTTATTGTTAAGAGAATTTTCATTTTCTGAAATATTTCCCCTTTTAGGTCACACCAGAGGACCAAGTTCATAAAAAGAAAGAAGTAATTGACATAGAGTCCTTTTCTGTATCAACCAAGTATATGTAAAATAGATAGTCTTAAAGAAATGTAAGTCTGATATATCCATTTAGAGAGGTATTTACTTAATGAAGAAATGGCATACTGAGTTCCTCTATTGAGACAGAATACCAAGTTCATTATTGAGTTTCTATGCCACATTCTTGGTTACCCAGTTATCTATTCCCAACTGACTGTATTAGTGGAAGAAAGTACCCCATTTATAAAAGGAGTGTGATCTCATCTGTCCTGGCAGGGGGGGCCGTCTAAGCGTAAGAAGTGGTGGGGTAGAAGGTATCTTAATGGAACAGGCTTCCTGGCTTCCCTTTCTTTTCCTAGGGTAGGTGCAGCTCTCTTAAGGTAGTTCTTACACTCCCTCTTGCCTTTTTCTGCCTTCATTCTTTAAGTTACCTTGCTTGGGCTGTTGCTGATATGCATCAAATACTTATGCTTAGTTTTCAAACATGAACCAGCTGCCTGTACAATTCATCGGGTGTTTGAAACCTGGGGTGAAAGATCCGGGAGAGTCTGGTGGGTCGACACTAAGGGCCTTTGCTTCTTGCATTGGTGCTTCCTCTAGGTCCTTCAGCTCTTCAGTTTTCCTGGAGGTGATGGAGTCACATTTTTTTCTTGTGAAGAGGAGCCCAGAAACCCTGGGTGTCCAGTGAGAGTAGGCTGTGGGCAAGATGCTGTGGATAAAGAAAAATATCTCTAAAACAGCAATAATTAATCTTTCTTTTCTCTATTTCTATTTTGAAAATTATTTTTCTTTGACTTTGGAAGTTCTTTTTCAGATAAACTTCTGAAAAATTATGCATATCTCCAAAGACAGATGGATCTGACAAAAGATATATCCAAGAAGGAATGTATTACGTCATGAGGAGTTTGCTAAATGTTCATGAATACACATTGGCATTTGGAAACTATTAGCACTACCTACTAATGCAATGACATGAATCCAAGTCGAAAAAAAATATTGCTTCTTGATTGGATTATATTTTCCATTTAAAAAAAGACTGTTTTTAGAAAAGTTTGCACTTCCCTAAGACATTTTTTTCCCTGTGTTATATATAGGATGGATCTGATTGCTTAATCTTGCTGAGAATTGAATTATTTCTAGTTGACCTTTTCAAAAGAGTTGCTTTCCCACCTTGAACATGTTTTAAAGAGAGCGGAGCAAAACAAATGAAATAAACATCCACCCTTCCCCAAGAAATAAAACATATCACAAAGGAGTTAAATGTTTTCGATTGGTGTCATTCCCTCCTTTTGTGGAGAAAGACATTATTCACTGGTGGAAGAGGAGCTTCAAGACAATCAGTTATTCCATCTTAATTATTTAAGGTCAATCAGTGATATTATTTCCCATTATATTGATCACCAGCCAAAACTGTTTTCCCTTGATTTCTGATTTCAAGAAGCAGATCATCTTAGTGAACTAGTCTGGTTGTCAGTAGGATGGATCATGCTTAGGTTATGAAATATTTCTAAGCCTTTCTCTATGTAAAATGAAAATAATGGCAGGTGTTCTGGTAGTTGATGGGATTGGTGAATATTAGAACAACAAAGAGGAAGAGCTCAGGAGAGGATAGTGGAATCTATAATTTGTATTGTGCTCTACCACCATAAACAATATTATGATAGCTACTCATTGCACTAGGGCTGGTGTCTTTTATTTCTAATAACATATTCCCAGTAATGAGGAGTACTTTTTTTTTTTTTTTTTGGTACTGGGGACTAAACCCAGGAACACTTAACCATTCAGCCACAAACCCAGCCCTTTTTTGTATTTTATTTAGATTCAGGGTCTCACTGAGTTGCTTAAGGCCTTGCTAAATTGCTGAGGCTTTGAACTTGTGATCCTTCTGCCTCAGCCTCCCAAGCTGCTGGGATTATGGGCAGGTGCCACTGCACCTGGCATGAGGCATACTTTTAAAGCAAAGCAAGTCTTCATTGTTTGATCTTAAAATGTTATGAAGGCCTTTAGAGTCTCAGTCCTTATCTGTCCATTGCTTGAGTATTAAAAATACCAGTAGCTTTACTGTGGTAAGTAAATGTGGTATCATATGTGCAAACACATTTAGTTAATTTCCCAGTGCCTTATGAGTGTCACTTGTTGCAACTATTATTCTAATAAAAATATAATTTGTCAGTTTAAAAATGGTAAACATCAGATACAATTTTTTACTGGTTTGATTAAATTTCCAAGCTGTCTACTTCCCTCAAACAGGGTGAGTTTTTTGGCTAGGCTTGTGTCATAATTTTCCTTCCATGTAGATAAAGCCCTAAGTCAACAGTTAGATAAGCATTCCTTTGCAGCCTGTGCTTAGCTGTTATTGTCAAGTTTTATGGGACAATGTTTCCTCATAGGAGAAAGTGAGTTAGAAAACAGAATGACAGATATTTTTTTATTCCTATCTTGACTCTATTAAATTTCATTAATAGAATAATCATGTAGGTTTTAAGTTAATTCTTTTCCTGGGTCTTTTCATCCTAGGAATAAAATGGAATGGTCAAAAATGACTTTCTAAACAATTTAGAAAGTCAGCAGTTTTTGAGTTCCTAAATTCTAGCTGGTTCTTCTTTGGAAAATCATTCAAAGTTTGTAGCTGGCCACAGCTGTGTCCTATATTTTAGCTCACTGTTGTCATGAGTTTGATGACCTCCTGTCAGGGGTATTGGTTCAGCTGAAGCAGTTACCCATGTCACCTGTAGAATCACTTTTTAAAAACATGAAATTATAGAGGAAGTATGCAACCATTGTCCTGGCTTTCTCATACCTTTGGAAAATCTAAAAGAGCACCTCATCAGTAATTAAAAATTATAGGAAGTGAGTGCTTTTTAAACTCCCTAATAGCACTTTATTCATTCAGCAAAAATCAGGAGTTAGGAGCTAGACACACAAAGATGAATAGGACAAGATTTTCTCAAGGATCTTACAGCCTAGCAGGTATTTATTTCATGTTTTCAGAATTTTCTCAGGGTAATTCTGGAAGAGAAAGGATTAACTTTGGGATTACTGTTCTTCCCCTCAAAATATTTACAAGTATATTATTATATATTATAGTATATGATATTGTTATATGTATTATGATAATAATGATACTGAAGGAATGAGTGACCTGTAGTATATACATGAAAATATGGGGTAGAAATATATAAATTCTCTCATAAAATTGTAGAGTCTCTCACCTTATGTAGTCCAGTCACCATATTTTGTAGACAAATGGTGGCTTCAAGATATTACTAGTTTGTTATTTTATTTTTGTAGAATTAAGAAAGGCATCTGGAGTACAGTAGCCTCTTGTTTATCTGTAGTTTCAATTTCTATGGTTTTGGCTTCTGGAAGATTCCAGAAATAAACACTTCATAAGTTTTAAAGTGCACATACTCTGAGCAGTGTGATAAAATCTCTTGCTGTCTTGCTTCAACCTGCCCCAGATGTGAACCATCTG